CCAGACTCAGAGAGAGAGAGGAAGAAGAGTGAGAGAGGGTTTTCTTATCCTTTCGGAATTGGGTTTTGGGAGAGGATACTGGTATTTGGGACCACCGAAACTAACTTGGGCTTTAGAAAGAGTGACTTTTTGTGTAATTTTTTCCTTGGCAATTCTTATTTCTATTTACACCTCACGACAAGACCCAAAAGAAAATTTTATGATGTCTTCTTTTTTTATTTCTTCAAATTATCCCTTCCACCGCGTCTTCAAAAGGATCTGTCATTTCAATCCATGGTGTCATGGTCAGAGTCTGAAAAATCGATATTTTCGCTGAAATTATCCTTTCCATCGTGTTTATGATTATATTTTCGGCGTGTAATATTTATAATGTCTTTAAAATATATGTAAGCTAATATTTATTATATAGGATAAATTTATATATTAAAAAAGACACCAAGGGGATTCAAACCCCTCCCATTTTACTCTTTCAACACCTTAACCATCATATCACTTATGTTTTTGTGAAAATATGCTAAAATATTTATATATATACATGGTTTTGTTGGTGTCATGGCCAGAGTCTGAAAAATCGATATTATCGCTGAAATTATCCCTTCCATCGTGTTTGTGATTATATTTTCGGCGTGTAATATCTATAATGTCTTTAAAATATATGTAAGCTAATATTTATTATATAGGATAAATTTCTATATTAAAAAAGACACCAAGGGGATTCAAACCCCTCCCATTTTACTCATTCAACACCTTAACCACCATATTACTTATGTTTTTGTGAAAATATGCTAAAATATTTATATATACATGGTTTTGTTTGGAATAATTTTTGCAAGAAACAAATTGTTTTGAATTCTTTTGACCATTCCTTTTCAAGTTTCTACTTTTGATTATGGTGTGTTTAATCTTTTTTCATTAATTACTACATATTTTCTACACTCACAGTGTTTGCCAGCTCGCTATATAATCAACTTAAATCAGTTAAATCCATCATGCAATGCATTTCTTTCCAATTTTTTATGATAAATTAATAGATAATTGACTAAATAAACATCCTGCAAAGTTTCAATAAAAATTTCCAAGTTTTTCTTACAATTTCCGTGGTTTTTATTCAATTTTTATCGATATCGATAATATCCCGATATTTCCATCGAAATTTCCATGTTTTTGGCCTACCGATATTTCCGATATCACCGATATTTTAGACCTTGAACACAACTACCCATTATCTTT